TTTTAGGCACTCACCATGCTCCTCCAATAGCCAAAGCTCTACAAATATGTGGAAATATCTACAAAACGAGCACGTGTAATACCTTTCCAACAATTATAGAATTAAAGCACAAATGTGCAATTTATACACCACAAATGCAACAATTATGCTCTACATACTATATGAATATGGTGTAAAATCGCACATGAACAGTAACCCACTTTTATCTTTTGGCTGCCTTGACCCAGTAACGAACCTCTTATTAATTTCACGTTGCAAAAGTTACCCTCCATTGAAATTTATGTAGGCATGTTCACTCTCTGTGTTTATTTATTTTACTTTATTTTTTTGTGTCGAGGCTGTTGGAGTAAACTGAATTTACTTTAGTCAAAGATATCTCTTTGTATTTGATCAAGGTCTTTTAGTATTCCTAAATGTCTCTTAGATAAGCTAAATGTCTCTTAGATGGTTTAAAGAGTCATCTGGAAGTAAGTGTCTATTTATTTTGTTGCTAAATACCATTTGGTTTAGATATTATAAATATGAGTTGATGTAAGTCATTTGATAAGAAGAGTGAGTAATAAAATACAATTCTATTTCTAGAAAATATATGGTCTCTCTCCCTTCAATCTGGCATCAGAGCTTTGGTTCTCAAAATGTCGGGCCAACTCATTTCTGTCGTTCCAAAATTCAACGGAGAAAAATATGATTATTGGAGTAACATGAAGTTGTTTCTTGAATCTCAGGACCTATGGGGTGTAGTCGAAGATGGTGTCGTCCAACCAGCAAACGCAGCCTAACTGACCGAAGCTGAAAAAATGAGAAACGAAGAGACCGAAAAGCACTTTTCCAAATTTGTCAAGTGCTTGAAATTCCGGTCTACGAAAGAATCGCGAAGGCAGAAAATTCTAAAGAAGCATGGGTTATTTTACAAACCACCTATTCCGGTCAAGAAAATGTGAAGAAGGTCCGGTTGCAGGCACTACGGAAAGAATTCGAGAAGTTAGAAATGAGAGAAAATGAAAAATCTCAGACTACTTCTCGCGGGTTACCTCCATAATAAATCAAATGTCCTCAAATGGAGAGATAGTCGACAACGAAAAGATCATTGAAAAAGTTATGCGGAGCTTATCGGAAAAATTCGATCACATCGTTGTTGCTATCGAAGAATCTCAAGACACTTCGAAAATGTCCGTGAAAAGTCTACAAGGACGACTAGAAGCTCATGAAATTAGACTCTTTCAAAAGAATCCTCAAAATTCAATGCAGGATCAAGCTTTGAAGTCCCAACATTTGGGAGGCCGTGAATTTTTTCAAGGACGAGGCAAAGGGCGTGGAAAAGGTGGAAAACAATTCCAGTGACAAGAAAAAAACGACTCTAAAAGTGACGAAAAAACAACTTCCAAAAATCAAAAGGGAAAAGGAAGCTACAAAGGTAAAAAACCGTACTTTGAGTGCAATTTCTGTCATAAACCAGGACACAAAGAAGCTGACTGTTGGGAAAAATATCCGGGGAAGAAACGTGAGGCAGGCTATGTTCATAAAGACCAGTCTGGCGATTCTGAAACTCTTCTAATAGCATTTGAAGGTAACGTTGAGGATATTTGGTATCTGGACAGTGGTGCAAGCAAGCACATGACTGGAAATAAATTTTTTTTTTTCAATGCTAGAAGATGCTAACCTTGGACAGGTGACTATAGGAGACGCTAAAACACTCAAAATCCAAGGTGTCGGTGAAATCACGTTTAAAACAAAGACAAAAAGAATGAAAAACATGTTAAATATCTTTTATGTTCCGGGATTATCAAGTAATCTATTGAGCGTTGGTCACTTGATGAAGAAGGGCTTCAATTTCCAGTTCGCTAAAGATTCGTGTATCATGAAAAAGAATAATCTTCTCGTTGCTGAAATCGGTTTTGGTTTCAAATAATTTGTTTCTAGTCAAACTTGACGTTGTTAATAATTCTTGCTATGTTAATTCTAGCAAGGAAATGTCCAAGTTGTGGCATGACCGATACGGGCACCTGAACTACCGACTGTTGAAGGAGATGTCCAACAAAAACATCGTGGAAGGGCTACCCAAAATAGAAGATGATGCGGAAAGTTGCGAGGAGTGTCAGATGGGAAAACAAACTCGCGATTTATTCCCATCAAAGTCAACCTGGACATCAAAGGCACCATTGGAACTTGTTCCACTGACTTGTGTGGTCCGATGAAGGTTGATTCTCTAGGCGGAAGTAAGTATTTCTTGTTAGTTGTCCATGATTATACATGAAAAATTTGGTTCTACTGCGTGAAGCAAAAATCAGAAGCACTTTCATGTTTCAAGGACTTTAAATTAAAAGTCGAAAAATCATCCGGGTTCGAAGTGAAGAACGTAAGAAGTGATCGTGGAGGCGAGTTAATGTCGTCGTTATTTATTGATTTTTTCCAGAAAAATGGAATTAGGCATGAATTGACAGCACGGTATACACCACAACAAAACGGGGTCGCAGAGCGCAAAAACCGAATAATCATGAACATGGTGAGATGTACGCTAAAAAAGAAAAACTTGCGTGCTGTTTTTTGGGCAGAAGCAGTCTCGTGCGCCGTGTATTTGATCAACCGCTCACCCACGAAAAGCTTGAAAGATGCTACACCAAATGAGGTATGGCATGGACAGAAACCGAATGTAAGTCACCTCAAAACATTCGGTTGCCTAGCTTATTCTCACATACCGGATTCATTGAGATCAAAGTTGAATGATAAAGCGGAAAAATGCGTCTTCATTGGCTACAGTATGAAGACGAAATCCTACAAGCTTTATAACCAAAAAGCGAAAGAAAATTGTTATAAGCAGGGATGTTCGCTTCAATGAAGATGCTTGCTACAACTTCGTTGAACCTATCGGCCTCGAAACTCTTGACAATGGTTATGATTCTCAGCCACCTAAAAATAAGAATGAAGACGAGCCAATTCCTCCTGACAGTCCTGAAAATACACCAGGAAGAAGGACGCGAAGCCTACGAGACATTTATGACGAAACAAACGAAATCGCGCAAGAAGGCAATCTTTTTTTTGCTTTTTTTTTTGTTGGCGAAGACCCATATCTTACTACGAAGCAGCAAAAGAGCAAAAATGGTGCGCCGCTATGAAAGAAAAGATCAAGTCGATTGAGAAAAACAGTACATGGGAGCTTACTTCTCTACCTCCCAACAAAAGTTCCATTGGCGTGAAATGGGTGTTCAAAACAAAAACCAATCCAGACGGTTCCGTCAACAAATACAAAGCTCGATTGGTTGCCAAAGGGTACAAACAGAAGGAAGGAGAAGATTTCAATGAAGTTTTCGCTCATGTATCTCGACTTGATGCTGTTCGGCTAATAATTTCTCTCACAGCCCAAAACCGGTGGAATATTTTTCAAATGGATGTGAAGTCTGCCTTTCTAAATGGCTATCTTGAACAAGAGGTGTACGTTGAGCAGCCACCCGGTTTCGTAAAAAAGGGTGAAGAAGACAAAGTCTACAAACTGAAAAAGGCGTTGTATGGGCTAAAACAATCACCTTGTGCATGGTACGGCAGGATAAATGAATATCTTTCAAAGAAAGGTTTTGAAAGGTGTCCATACGAGCACACTCTTTATGTCAAAAGAAACTCCAACAACGGCTTCATGCTCGTAAGTATCTACGTTGATGATCTTATTTTCACCGGAGATGATTTGAAAATGCTAGCAGATTTCAAGAAATCAATGATGAAAGAGTTCGAAATGATAGACTTGGGCAAACTCCATCATTTTTGGGGAATCAACATCGCCCAAACAAGCGACGAAATTTTTATTTCACAAGAAAAATATGCGAAAGAAGTGCTTAGAAAGTTTCGAATGGAGGAAGCTAATCCGGTTTCTACACCGTGTCTAACAGGAATGAAACTAAGCAAAGAAGGAGAAGGAAAACTCGTGATCTCCACGATGTACCGGAGTCTCGTAGGAAATTTGATGTATCTCACCACCACGAGACCGGACATCATGTTCGCTGTAAGTATGGTTAGCTGTTTCCTAGAAATGCCGTACTCAAACCACTGGGAAGCTGCCAAAAGAATACTTCGATACATAAAAGGTACGATGGATTTTTGTATTTTTTATAAATCTGGTATCGATGTTAAACTGGTAGGATATACCGATAGCGATCTTGGAGGATGCGTTGATGACTCTCGGAGCACTTTCGGTTACGTGTTTAACCTTGGAAGTGGAGCAATATCTTGGTGTTCGAAGAGACAAAAGGTTGTGGCTCTTTCGACGACCGAAGCAGAGTATATATAACGCAACGTCATTAACAGCTTGTCATTCTTTATGGCTAAAAAACATTCTGAAAAATTTGAATCAAAAGCAGAAAGATCCTACGGTGATCTATTGTGACAACAAATCGACCATTTCGGTTACAAAATCGTCCGGACTTGCATGGATGAACGAAACATATCAGGATGAGATATCACTTCTTGCCTTAACTAGTAAGTGAATGTAAAATTATGCTCGAATATTGCCGAAGCAACATGCAAATTGCCGACATATTCACAAAACTGCTCGGGGGGACGATCTTCGCAAAAAATGTTGCCGAATTGGGAGTGCGAAGCAAATTAAGTTTACGGGAGGCATTGTTGGAGTAAACTGAATTTACTTCAGTCAAAGATATCTCTTTGTATTTGGTCAAGGTCTTTTAAAGAGTCATCTGGATGTAACTGTCTATTTATTTTGTTGCTAAATACCATTTGGTTTGGATATTATAAATATGAGTTTGATGTAAGTCATTTGACAAGAAGAGTGAGTAATAAAATACAATTTTATTTCTAGAAAATATATGGTCTCACTCCCTTATGAGGCATCCCGTCAACGACCAATGTGGTCTACTTGCACATTCAAACGACTAAAAGCATTTTGTTATCTTTCTGAGCATCTGATCATGTCAATACAAATTTCACAATGTTCATCTCACCCCTTTATTTGCTTATACTATTTTTTTCTTACATAAAAAACAAAAAAACAAAACTCAACAATCTGCTTGGATAAAATTCTTAGGCTCGTAATAGGAGACGTGCTTGGGCGGGATCTCCATACTCCAGGGCACCCGTTGCTTGGTTTCCCGTCCGGGCCCTTGGTTTTCATACTCGGCGAAGTACAATGTGTCCAATGCAAAAGTGGTGTTGTCCCATGGCATAAATCCCTTGCTTGAAATTAGGGACTCGAGCGTGCACTCGATGAAGACCACCCTGGAGTACTCCTTCCACGGCCGGGCCAAGTACGCACTAAGTGTGTTGGGGTTGTGGCGGAACAGGTCCATGTACTCCGCGGTACCATTTATGAGTGAGCGGAGGAAGACAAACCCGGTCAACTGGCCCGGGTCAGTCCTGCCATGTGCCGCTACAGGATTCTGCTGGCTCTTGGTAGCATTGTCTTGGCGGGGGTTGACGAGGATGGTGCATTCCTCAAAGACAGCAGCTGAGTTTCCAAATATGAAGTCCACGTTTCCCTGGATGGTGCAGTTGTTGTAGTATTGGCGGAGGGTGCTGGCGTACAGCGTGTCTTGGTGCCCGATGAACTCACATTCTTGGAGGACCGAGTGGTCGCTGTCCGACCGGAAGGCCACTGCTTGGTGGGCGATGGGGCCTGCCGTGTTCCGTATTGTGATCTTCTTCGCCATGAATCCATCACCCGCCACCGCTGTAATAATAATAATAGTAATTATATATAGATACTATATATAACAAAAGAAATACAAAAAAGAGTGACTTGAAATAAATTACCGAGAGTAGGGGAATTGTATGTTGTGACATCTGGCTGACCCACCATTCTGGACCCTGTGATGACCGTCTTACCCATGCCATCCCCCAAGAACACCAGGTTCTTCTTCTCCAGCGGGACCCGCACTATTTCCGGATAAACCCCCGTCTTGATCCAGATGACGAACCTCTTTCCCAGCCCCAGATTTTCCGGGGCACCATCCACTGCCTTCTGCACCTTGCTGTAGTCGCATCCCTTTGCACACACGGTCACGTCAGGCTTCAGCCCTACAGGCACGCCGCACTTCCATACAGCACCACCACCACCAGAAGCAGCAACATGTTCCCAAAACCTATTCCTCTCGGTCTTGGGCGGGCCCCACCGCATGGTACTCGAACCGTAGACATCGTAATTGACCATCATGCCCAGCGTGCTGCTCGTGCCTGGGATCAAGGTCTCGTTGAGGAACTCCATTGCCTTGGCCACTGATTCTGTCTCATTCACGTACTTGAGGGTGGACCAGCACGAGTACTGGTGTGCCAGCGCCGCGCTCAACCACGCCCGCGCGTCCTTAAGCAAGGCATTGTGCAGGGCGAGGGCCGACTGCTGGATCCGGTAGACGGAGTAGCGAACCATTTCGAGGCAGGTGTTGGCGGCCGTGGTTCGGTTCGAGTTCCCGGTGGATTCATTTAGGATTTGTTTCGCCATGGCCTTGCTCTTGTTTAGATTCTCGGTGGTGTCGTTCAGGGCGGATTGGATTACCTGCAGAATGGTGGCGTAGGGAGGCACCAGATTGGGCCTGGACAACCATTTCACACAATTTGGGCGGTCGGGTGATGCCTTGCAGGCCTCGCAGATGATGTTGAGGGGGACGGAGGCGGAGGAGAGAGAGAAGAAGAGGAAGAGAAGGGAGAGAACATTAAGGGAGAAAGACTTCGCCATTCAAAAGATAGATCAATGGGTTCGATCGGTACACGTTTTCTTCCTGTTTGATGTTAGAATGCGTAACCCTTAAAAATTGATGAATTCAAAGCATAAGACTGAGTGATTGACAAAAAATCTCAAGAAATCAAACAAAGCAGATTCGGAGGTTGAAATAATGAAAATTAGTGATGAGCCCCGATTGACTATAATCAACTTTGTTGAACAAACAATGGATTATTAGTTACTGCTACTAGTTTAATATACAAATAAATTTTTTAAGAAAATAAAATATTACCGTATTAGGTAAGCAATTTCGAAATTTATAAGTACATAAAATTGTAAAGTTCTGCAACATGATCAAAGGTTTTAAAATTTAGAGAATTCCGTTAGGGAGATTTTTTTTTTTTTTTTTAAATAACACCGAGGAGGGTGGGGTTAAGCCGGACCCCAACCTGTATATATATAAGAAAATGCCATAAAAGGGCTAAAAAGTCACACTATACAAGTACAGTGGCTGAAATACATCAAGTCAACCGAAAAGCAAAACCAAAAAACGAAAAAGAAAATAAGAAAAAGCTGGCAACAGTTACCAGTAATACAACAATAACATCTCCTGGTCCGAAAGGATCCAGACAAAAATCAACGTCACGGGATAGCGGAAGGTCGGATGTACAAAAGGTAGGATCAGCTACGCAAATCTGAATGAAGGGTATCCCATCTGGTCCATCCGTATAAGGGTACGGAGGCGGAGAGGAATATCGTCAGGGTAAAGAATGCATCTCTGGGGGTGGAGGACCCGATGCCTGCGAGAAAGTCAACAGGACTGTTCCCCTCACGGATGATGTGTGAGATCTGAAATCGAATCGATCAGAGAGTGGTCCTGATACGCATGAGCGGATGCTGAATCTGCCATGTGCCCTAATGACCAGTGGTCAAGAGGGTGATAACAGCGGCAGCGTCCAACTCTATCCAAATGTGAGAGGATATCGAGGCAGCAATCTGAAGGCCGATCTGAAGCGCCTGAATCTCTGCGTCGTAGCTCGAGGAGGCCCGAAGAGGGGCATGGAAAGTGGTAATAAGAGCGCCGCTGTGGTCCCTAATCAGGCCCCTGCCTCCGGCGGCTCCGGTAAGTCGGTCAAAAGACCCGTCAGTGTTTAGCTTAACCCAAGGAGGCTCGGGTGTCAGCCAAACAACAGCTCTAGGCCGTGGGTGCTGGACAGGCGGCTGTGAGGGTAGTGCAAAACGATGAGGTGGCGTGCAGGCTGTCGAATCTCTCGACGTGAGTCTACCCAGAGCGGTGAAGAGAGATAGATGTCTGTCAACCTGCAAAATAATATGGGAACACAAAAAGGTAATATCCCTATGCTTCGCATTATTCCTTTCTGTCCAGGTGGACCAAAGGATCAGACAAGGAATAAGGAAGCCCACGTGTCTAGTGTGTGTGCTCTGTGTAAAAAAACTCAGAAGCTCAAAAAAGTTATCTGTGGTGGGTAAGGGTATATGAGTGAATCTGGAATAATGCTCCCACACTCTCCTCACAGTCTCACTCTCAAGAAATACATGGGTGAAGGTCTCAGTCCGAAAATCGCCGGTCTCAGCACAACAGTAACAACCTGAGGGGAATGAGAACCCCCTTGCCTGCATCATAGTGTCAATCGATAGACGGCGCAGAAGAAGACGCCATAGAAAGACAGAGATGGTCGGGGTAAGAAGGTCGGTCCAGATGGCTCCGAAGAGAAGGTTAGGCCGGTCTCCCAGCCGTACTTCCCCCCAAGCCGAGGTTGTAGAGAATGCAACCGAAGATGTAAGTCTCCACCTCATACCGTCCAAACCGTCCTCCGAGATGGGTATCTACTGGATCTCATCTATCTCCTGGTCGATAAAGCCCGCTCCACTACCCAGAATCCTCTCTGACCTATCCCTATCCCAACCCCCATCCGTCCACAGGTCCTGCACCTGCTGAAATGGAAGGTGGGTGACCTGTCTAGAACTCGAAAGAGGACCCTCACCAAACCACCACTCATCCTAAAAACTAATGTCTCCCTCACCCAGAGTCCAGAAAATGTGCTTCTGAGCACGTCTACCAACAACGGTGAGCCGCCTCCACTGTCTACTATCGCGGGCAGAGGACGTCACCCTACAGGGGTGGGCAGCGCCTCTAGGACAGTACTTCCGACGAAAATACTGGGCCCAAAGGGACTTACCCTCCCTAAAGCGCGACCACATCTTATAAGAGAGTGCAGTGACGACGTCAAAAAAAGCGCCGAATCCCGAGGCCCTCCTCAGAGAAGGGGCGATGAATTTATTAAAAGGTTTTGTTGTTGAAAAAATGGAAAGTATATAAAGATAAAATATACTACCTCCTATTTTTAATATATGTCGTTTTAAAAAGTTACACATTACTTAAGAATATTTGTTGTTGTCAATAATAACCTAATGAAGAGAGAAAAAAAAAAAGATGAAGAGTGAATAAGAAAATGTGTAATGTATTTATTAGCTAAATGAGAGTAATAATGAAAAAATATGTAATACCCCATTCGGTTGTGGATTATTTGCGAATAATTATGGCTATTAATGATCGTTTTATTATTATTATTATTATTATTATTATTACTATTATTATTATTATTATTATTATTATTATTATTGTCATTAAATGTCTAATTGTTTTAAATGCTTATTATTGTTAAATAATATTATTGTGTGTATTATATATATATATATATAATGTCCGGTTTTATTTTAATTCGTGTTGTCGCGTTTTCTTACCGAGTTTTGAGTTATATTTCCAGCCCATTTGCTATGCTACTATATTGACCCTTGAGAATAAATTAGCCCAATGCCTTCAAATTATTGGGCCACTTCTTTTATATTAATCTGGCCCAGATGATGAGAAGTCGAAACCCGTTTAAAAACTTCTTCTCCTTCGCTAAGGATGGACCAAGTCTCTCTCGTTCAAATTTCTGGTGCGATTTTCCCGTGGATAGCTCTTCCATTCAACCCCTTTCTCTCGCATGTTCCTCTTCCATCCATTTAAATCATTAGAGGGATCTCAGAAGCTTATTTATTTCTCTGATCATTTCAAAACCGAGCCTACTTCGCTTTAAAAAAAAAATCGCGTACCTCCACTCTCCGTCGGGACTTTCATCTCCGACCAGATATCGTCGTCGTTGTGTTCTTACGCATCCTCACGGTCAGAAGCCCCATCCCGTCTGACCTCGAGCAGCGAACCAGCCAATCCCGCAAATCCGTTCGAGAATCACCGGTAAAGCTTCGCTCACCACTGTTTCCGGCGAGCACTCCAGCGGCGCCTTCCCCTACTGCCTTTGACCGCTGTCAATCTCCATCAGGCCTTGAAACCGTTCGCGAGCAGCCGTTAGTCCGTCCGAAAGACTCCAGCAAGCAGTTCGTGAGCCGTAACCGTTCGTCGAGCTTTCGAGAGTTCCGTTCGTTCATTGCATTCCGTTCGTTTCCAATGAGCACGTAGATTCTCGGAGACTGGTAATCTATTTCGAGCTCCCTTGATATTTTCGTGATCATGAATAATCGTTGATTACCTTAGCTCGTTAAATCGATATTCGTAGATTGCTCGATGCGTACGTTCATTTTTTTCGTCCTTTGAGTTTCGAATATTTATTCGTGTGAAATTGTGAATTGACGTGGACATGTTGGAACTCTAGCTTTTGAAAATGTTGAAGGTCCTTGCTGCTATGAATAAGCCATTTGGTTTCGGAGTCTCGTTGTTGTTTCGAGTCTTGTCGTTATGTTATTTGGTTGTTTTCAAACTATGTAACGTCGTTTCGTATTTCAGGCTAAAAACCCGATTTTTCTAAATTCTGAAAGTTATTATTTTCGAAAATTTATTCTTACTCGAACCCCAGTTGCTGTTGGAAATGGTGTCGTCAAATTCGGTCGATTTTCATCCAGCATGTGCGCATATGTCAGTTGCTGTTTGAAGTTGCAGCCTGCTCAATTTTTCCGGACCTCTGCTTAATTTTTCTTCCCATGTTTTAAATTAATTCAGTAGTTAATAAGTTCGTTGAGATTTGCAAGCGGCAGTTTGGCGCAGCGGTCTGTGCTCAGTTCTGTTCGTGAGAGGTCTTGGGTTCGAACCTCTAGACTGTAATCCATCTTCTATTTTTTTTCCAGCCCATTCTACAATCCTTCCAGCCCGCATACTCAGCCCGCGCGAGCTATTCCCAGCCCAGTGAGCACGCGACCATCAGGGCAAGGCCCTCCTTGTGGCCCAAATGTTGTGCAAGCACGGCCCATTCGCCAGCAGCGGCCCATCAGCGGCTTGTGAGGCCCAACTCGACCTTTTAAGCCAATTTTTGTGTTATGGAGCTCGTTTTTCATCCCGAACTCATTTTTAAAAATTATTTTCAAATGCAAAAATTTGGGAAAAATTATTTTAAGTCTCGAGACTCCAAATTAATTTTCCGAGTCCTATTTTGCAAAAATGAGAGAGTTCCAAGTCCACGAAAATCCGATTAAAACCCTTAAGACTTAATTTTTATTAAGTATGGGTTTTATGTTAAATTTTAGTAGTGAGATAAATTATTGATAAATTATCTCGCTTATATGTAGGTGTTTGAGGAGTCGAGCCTCATCCTACGTACTTGCTCTTGTGTGCAATTTTCTACTGAGCTATCCAGGTGGGTTTTAATCTAAAATTTGCTATGCCGTATGTGTTTAGTTTGATGTTGAGTTGGTATGATTTAAGTATGTATATGAACCATGTAGCCTATCGGCGTGAGCCGATTTCGGCCGTCGGTACGGTTGTCCCCATCGATGTAATACGGTTACCTTGCGAGGTAAGTGTCCGTAAGACCTAATGAAAGGCCGTGTCTTGTTGTATGGCACGTACCCCCATGAGTTAGGGTAATGAATCCCCTTTCCTTGGCTAATAAAAGATGTGTACACGTGGATAATATGTTGTGATGTGATTAGGAGACGTGACAGAATAATTGATTTATGTTCATACTTTAACCATACCTCCTTTATATTATTATTGATGA